AGAGAAACGGGAATAGATACTGCAAAAATATAAAATGCTCTAACATTAATACTTTGAGTTTTGACTTAAACACTTCAATTCAAATTCAGATAACATTAAATGTATATCATAGCTCTCTTTTGGGTGATACTACGTTATACCATCATAATAAATATAATGATGCTAGTTAATTTTACGTAATTGGTAATTAAATATATCTTAATCGGACATGTATGTTATCTTTGGATATACTAAACACATCTAACTAAATATATCAATTAACCACGATTATGTTCAAGATTTAAAAAATTAATTGACCAGACTTTGGACGATCAATAACAATTTTATAATCTATGAACGTCAATATACTCTTGACAACAATAATTTTAATGTCATCTTTATTTATAAGCATCAAACTATCAAGAGTACTTGACAAATAAATTATGTAATTTAGTGTTCACAATATCATAATGTTTGGCCACTTTGATAACTAACAAACAACGAACATGAATTACATAAATAAAACATGAAAGGTAAGTGATTAAACTAGACATGATCCAATTTAATCAAAAATTCGAAGTCTAAAGGCAGTGTCATAATTAATTATTCATGTATCACCGTCTTTATCAATTTAAAAATATATAATTTCTGGATTTATGAAACATAATGTTGTTTATAATAATTGGGCACTAAAATTATATTCTGTAGTAATTACAATACAGAAAATATCAAACTACAGTTAATTTGGAATAAATGGTCCACATGACTAAACAAATTCCAATTATGTAGTCTATAGTTAAAGAGGTGGTGATGCCCCCACAACATCAATTGAAAACTGAAAACTCCTCCACTAAGAAATAAACCCAAATTATACACAGAATAGGCAGCTTGACTAAACTAATTTTGCGAAAACCAAGAGAATGACATTTTCTCAAAACAATCATAATTCAACATATGGCAGATATATACAGTATATAGTTTCGACGTTTTGATTGCAGTGTAAATAATAATCTATAAAGGAAAATCAAAAAATCCTCAACTTTGCTCCGATACCGCACGTAAGCAATTGTATAACCCTAATGCCATGATTTTTAGGATTCATGATTTTCACATATAGACTAATTGACCAAGAAACATACATTGATCCATAATAATAGTTGAAATATTTAAACCTACAAAATAGAAACTGATGAAATCTAGAATCCGTTCTCTCTATTTTCCTTTCTGTAATTGAATGTTTTTATTTGATGGGCTTCATTCGCATTTATAGGCAGAGAGAGGCAATTTCATGGCCATAAAAGAAAGCTATTCACCTTCAATCGAAATTATAGGCCATAAAAGAAAACTATTCACTTTCCATCAAAGTGAACAGTTATTAAACGGCTACTTCTCAATGAATCAATAGAATTTTCTCCATAATTAACCATCATTAATAATATTACTTGGACCAAATTAATAGGTCTTACGATCATATGTCCGTTTATTCACTATAGCGTCGAAGCATGAACGATCTCGACCATCCTCGCATTTTTATTGGAGAAGTCTCGATTTGCACCTCTAATATGTGCATTCAAATCTACAGATAACTCATACATGAAGGAGAGATGAGTAAAGATCACACTGGATCCCTATTAATTTTGAAGGCAAACCAATTTATTTTGATTCGGTGTAACTTGTTTAGTTCACTTATTAGAAAATATTGTTGATGCCGTTTGGCCACACAAAGGCACTAACTTTTTACTCGCAAAGTGGCAGCTTCTTGGACATTTGTGCGACTTGTTGGTTTTTCTTGTTTATTTTGCTTGACAAATAATTAACTAGCACGATAATTGTCACCATTAATGTTTATTGAAAGCAAAAGTCCACTCAACTTGTCATGACACAAGAAAGTATGATTAGCTTTGATAGAGAAAGTGAAACCAGATTCGACAGATCCATTAACTTGATATTAATATGTTCATACTTGAAATTAGATTCGACAAAAGAAAAACTGACTCCATCATTTGACGGGGTGGCCATAGGGCTGGCGGGTAGTGGGGGCTGACCGTCGGCAATATGCGGACAAGGAAGTCCACAGAGAAATTTGTTGAAAAAATTGAGTTAGTAGGTGACTTTGGCACGAATTTTGAGCGGAATTCAGTTGGCTATTTTGGAAGATGAAAGTTAATTTGTCTTCTCCTCCGTGAGTACATCAAAATCATATACTTACTTGTTAAAAATGATGTTCGGGTGAATGAGAAATTGAAACTCGAAGTATGCTATGTGAAATGAGTTTATATTGGTGGGAAAACTAAAAATTAAGTTTGTCTCATATAGGAAGTAGATGAAAACTAAAATCACTTTATAAATGATTGCACTTTAGAATGGTGTAATCATGTGCAACATAGAGGCTATCTCCACACACGCGCGCGAGAGGTGCAAATTACGGACCGAAATAGGCATCGGACCTTGAACTTATGTGCTGGCGCGACATGCGTACACGAATGTCGGACCGAATTGACCAAAAATTGGCCCTTTAAAAAAGCTTACGTTTTGCTACATTTTATTTTATTTTTCGACCGACTTTTCATTTTCTGAAATAATTGAAACTCCTAAAACTCTTGTTATAATTGCCATGAAGTAAGTGGGCAAGTTACAAGATCCAAAGTCTATATATACCTCAATGTTTCCCAATTTTCAGTACAACAATTCAACTGCATGCAATTCAAGTTTTATCTCTGTTTTTGTTTCTGTTTGAGTCTAGTGGTGACATTGTTCGGGCTCTAACTCAGTTTGCTGGAGTAGCTTCTGTGGTACTCAGACTCTACTGGTCTTCCGTTGTATTATGGGAAACAGACGCTAAAATTACTCCTCAAGCACGTACGGTGAGGGGGCGAATCTGTTTAAGGAAACTGTGTGTAACACAGGCCTCGGGTTAAGAGTTCAATTTCGCATTTTATATTTTTTCTGTTTTATTTGTAATTCTGTTTCTGAAACTAATAATTCAGATTAACAAATTTGGTGTTGCTTTGATATTAGTTCATTTGTTATCATATCTTCCTACATAATTTACTCACAAATTGATTGGTAAGTGTATTTATATACTTATTTAGGCTTTTGTACTTACTTATTTATGATTAATTGAACTAATATCAACCTAGGTTAGGGATAAATATATTAATTGTAGGTAAATCCCGACTTAGATGCAATTAATGTGAAAAAAGACATTTTTGAAATGTAATTGAAGTTGAGTCGAAGCAATTGATGATGAATTGAATTGTAATTATTCATTGGAAAGCAATAATGGAGTAAACAGATGAGAATTACAAGTTTTAGGAGCTAAATTCAACGTTAAGAAAGCTTGGAAACTTAGTTGCAAACTCTCGTAACTCACATCTATCTATTATGGATGATTGAGAAATGATGAGTACTAAATTGTGAAGATTAGAAGATGAATGACTAAAGATGCAAAAAAGGGAATATATGAAGGAAAGATGAAATCAGGGACCAAACTGTAAAGAATACAACGTGCCATGCCTTGCTAATCCAACATGGAATAAAAATGAAAATATATACCAACATATAAGGATTTAGACTAATTCTCTTAATACATACTACAAAACTTGTACATATTGTTGAAAGTTGAAACTTTAAGAAGTCAAATTACATGTCATGAAATGAAAAAAATGTGTGCAGTGCACGTATGGAAGAAAAATTACAATTGTAGCTTTTCCAATTAATCTGGAGTTTCCCAGCTAACGTATGATTTTCACTTGTTTCCTCGGACAACCCAAAAAATGTACCATGTAAAACTATGTTTACTGATGATCAGTCTAGCGATTAACTTCCGCTGGCCCTTCAAAGCGAAGGTAGTCGTACATGATTCCATTGAAAGGATACCCACCTCTTGATTGCTTTAGATAGATTATATTTCTTCCATGAACGAGTTTAAATCCCGGTACACTTATGCTATATAATGAGTATAATCCATGAAGTCCATGTCTTGCAATTGCATTATCCCTTCCTATCAATCCTGTAGTAAAGTGAGGGCGTGGTGTGAATGGATTATTTACTCGAACCTATAAGAAGACACAAATCAACATTAATAGATACATTCATCATTATTATATAAGAAATGAAAGATAGTTTTTTTTTTTTTCAAGTCGTACGTACTTCTATTTCGGAATAAGTGGCAGAAGCTAGTGCTATCTGGAATGTATATGTTTGTGTCCTCTCGACATTTGTTAAATCAAATGAAACTTGCCATGTCGTCGACATGTATGTACTATTTGTTCTCCTGCAAAATACGTATTTATAATTTGGAATTAATCTCCAAGTTTATCATATAGATGAACAGAATGAACATCAAAGCGTGTGCTAAGTACCTGTTGACATGAGCAAAAAACCAATCTTGTCTGTAATCACTGGTGCCAACAGTGTATATTAGATCTTGATCGGGGTATAATTCTGTATATTGATCCCACAATCCGTATTGTCGATACCTGAATACCATAAAAGTGATTATTAGAAATCTTTAAGAACATTTTGTTTTGAAAATAAGCTGAAAATGTCACATTAATGATCGTCATTTAATAAAAGCTTACTTCTGAGTTTGGTTGATAAATAATCGGTTCCTGAACTGCGGCGCTGGATCGGGGACGTAGAACTCAGCGGGAGTACGATCGGGAATCCCAATTTCCCATAGGGTAGGACCATTTCTTGGAGGTCTATATACAAGATTGCCTAGTGGATTTTGGCTTCCTGTACCAAAAATCATAATTTGAGTGAAATATGTTTGTTTTCTTCATAGATTGCATTTAGGAACTATATTTCAATAGGCTACCTGGTATGATGACAATATCAGTTTCATATTTGTAGTCACCCATCACTCCTGGGACCCAAGCATTCAAGTTGTAAGTACCTCCTCGAACACCTCCAATTGTGAAGTAACCATTCTCATCCGTTTGATTCCAGAACTGATAACCCTAGTAATAATATTAAGAAAAACAATTAATATCTAACTGTGTGAAAGTACAAACTTACCTAATGTTGTTACTTTTATAAGTTTTATAGAAACAGATACTAAATTTATGTCAAATAGATAACCTTAGTGTCGGTTTGCCAAGATCCCACATCTCCTGGTGGAGCCAATCCCACATATGCTGATTTTGCAGGCATGAATTCTCGATTAAGATACCGGTCATGGACTAATAATCGACCGCTAATGGTACCCCTTTGATTGGCATAAGGGAAGTCTTCTGAACGTGGAAAATCATATGGCCATTTTTGGGTTTCTTTTTGCATCTGATGGAGTAAGAGGAGTAAGAAATAGGAGTTATGTTGGGGAGGAAAAACTCAAAAATAGGTTTTCAATAATTATCGTATTTTGTTTCATGAAAATTACCTGTTCTTTAGCATCTGTCCAAAGTGTACTTGTCTCGTTACTTGAACCTGAGTTGAGATATATAAAAACAGGCCCGAAGACTTTCTTCCACGGCTCTCCATTGCGTAATCTAACTCCAAAATGTGGACCAGCATAATGGTTACTGAAAAATAACTGATCGTGGGCAATTCAAAAGGAATTAGTGAATAAGAAAGTGAGAGTTAACTGTTTACATAAAGAATATAGATGAAGAATCTCCTATAGGTTGTCAAGAACTCTTCGAACAAAGTCCCTATTTGAGCCATATTTTTATTTTCGACTACACATTTTTCAATAAAAAAATATTTTATATTCAATCAAGAACTTTTCTTTTTTTTTCAACATCATATTCACAATCACGTCACAAAAAAAATCCATTCTTTCAATTTTAATGTGCATCAAACACACTCTCAAATAAGATCTACTTACAGCTAAGGAGGTCGGGCCAACATGAGATGTAAGATCATTTTTTACTGGGCCACCAACGCGAAACTCATTGCTTGGTGTTATAACCCAAAATCCTATGTCTCGTTGAGTGCTAATCCACCCGTGAACCAAACTATCCTTGTTGTCATATGAGTACTGGTACTTGTCGTCCACCTGATGAGAAAATTTACGAAGTCAATAGATATATTTCACTGGATTAGATACGAGGAGGTTATATGGCAAAGGAATCAATGACCACATTTAGGTTATTGGATCAATATTTAGACACGTACCTCGCCTTTGAGGGATGGATTGGCAGGATTTGTCAACAAAACAGCTTCTTTATAGTTGAGAACTTGGCCTAGTGTACGATCACGATCTGTTGGCATGATCCTTTGTATGTCATCTGATACAGCCATGTAATTGAACCTATATATCCAACATAGTTAAAATGAGCCAAGTTCACATCAAGTATGTAATGCATTTTAAAGTTTGTAATTCTCATATCTTACGTTTCCACGTCAAGTTTGAAAGCAATCCTTGATTCATCAATATTTAAATCTGGCCATCCTTCTAAATGTTCCATTATAGCATATGAATAGAAACCGGAGCTTCCACGCAACATTATATACCTTCAAAAGAATTGTATTAGTTAGGTGAACTCAATATAAGTTGTTGAATATGCTATCCACATCAATAAATTTAATTCCACCTTATATCGACAATCAAGGGGTATGAGTAACTATCAGAGGAATTCCATGTTCTGGTGAATGAAATTTCGATCATATCTTCTGTTTCCACTATAACTTTTAAACTTGTCCCTTCAAGCCTGCATAATTTAATGAGGTCAATTAGTATTTTTAATTGCATGGACTTGAATTATGAAATTTTAGACAACCCAAATTTTTTAACGAGATAATCTGTTTGTACAAGGGCTATTGACTCGGAAATTTACAGGTGCTGACATGGCAGCACTTGTATGGTTGACTTTTTATTTGACCTTTCAAGTGTTTTATAGTACAAAATCCTGTCAAATTGCCCTGTACACATAGCATAACTCTTTTTTAACTTACTTGTTGAAATAACTTTTGCCCTCTGGTGGCATACTCCATACGATGTCCCAATACCTAAATATGCGAATCCATGTAAAGTACGAGTTACTATTAGACGTAAAAAGGGATTTATATAAATTGTTTGGTAATTCACGAAGAGTATGTAGCAATGAGTGTTTTCTTTTCAAGAACTTATTTTACAACTCCATTTAAAGTATTTTGTATTAGTTTTAAAGCAACTCACCCTCGTCTAGATTCTTCGAAATGATATTCGAGGATATTCTCATCTCCTTTGTATTGTATTCCCGCGATCAAACCACTTGGAGATAGTAATGTGAGTTTAACAATGTCGTTGTCCAACATCACCTGCAAACAAAAAATACTTCTAATCAACTTGGATTTTTTTATTTTTTTTTCATACATGTTTTAATGGAGCAATATTAATGCATAACGAATTTTTTTGCGAATCCTTATCTTCTTCCAAATTTTTCCCTTCAAGAACCGTGTAAAACACACCATTGAAATTTAGGCTTACATGATCTTTCCATTTATTCAGTTTGACTGGAGAAGACGGCATCTGTTCCTGATCAGTCCTTCTGCAAATTTAATTATTAATTACATAAGTCAGCAATCGACCAAAAAAAAGAGGAAAAAAAGAGAAACTAATTGACTGATTCTAAGTTAAATATGAAATCAGGAAAAATTGCAGTATCTAAGGGCCTTTCTGTATATTTTACAAATTTGAATGGAATAAAATCAAAGTTTTTGTTCTCTTAATTTCCTGTAGAAAGTGGTCCGTTGCTTTTTGCTTTTCTTATACGCCTAAAGCTGTATTTATTAATTCTTCATTGGTAAATAAAGTCAGTTGACTTTGTTGAATAGGCAACAAATCCAACAATTGCAAGAAAATTAGTGAATAGTTGGATGCCTAATACCAACTGCTAAAAATGCTAATGGAGTATGACGCAAATTATTATTTTTCCTTTTCTTGAAAATCGATCGAAGAATAGGAATAATGTTAATATAAAAGGATTGATTTACTTCTACATCTATTCTCTACACATTGGGTTACGCTTCGTTATGTGTCAAAAATCCGTCAATGCATTGAAAAATGTGTTGCTGAAATCAATGCAGCAAAATCCATCAATTCATCAAAGTGTAGATAAATGTGCCAACCTTTTTGTACATCTAGAGAAAGAAAAAAAATTTGTAAACACCATTCTCGTTACAATAAGAATTTCTAAAAATTCAAATTAATAAAGTTATTGCCTTATTTGGTGCAACTTAACTTACATAAATGTTTTCAAAAAATTGACATAGTTACTTGCATGAGTTAAGAGAATGTCTGTTATCGTTTACATAAATGTAATAAATCAATAAATAAACTGAGGCAAAGAGATGGTTTTGTAATGAGCAAACCTGTTTGGGGTATTCGCAGCAGAATCGACATGCAAGAACAATGAAAACACAATCGCAAGAAACCCTAAAACTAAAAACCTTCGTGTCTTCTCCATTTTTGCAACAACAAAAGAACCTGTTAAACAACAATGTATAACATGTTTCAGATTATAAAGCGAAGTGAATAAGGAAGAATCGCGTCGACTATGCACATACAACAGTAACATATAAAGAGAGCATGCAAGATTTAGAACTACCTTGAAGAAGAAGTTCGAGGGCAGAAGCTTTGTATTGTTATTGCGTTTCAATTAATTTGTAGAGCAATGTTAATGGAGCAGTTCCTATGGGACTCTTATATAGATTATAATCCTATAGTAAATGTAATACAAAGGTGGCCCGGGACTTTGACTTAGGATTGTTGTTTTAGGCACGGAATTTGGTCTTAAGAATACACTTGTTAATTTGTTGAACTTTGGTAGAATTAGGGAAATTTCCTCCTTTTTTTTATTTTTTATTTTTTTTCGCGGCTTACATTGTTTTAAAACTGGAATAGGTGTCCTAATGTGTTCGTGCACACAACCTTATCAAAATCGAACATGCTCGACCATTTCAATCGAAAATGAGTCCGACTCCGTCCGATTAATTCTTAACAACCTCAAATATAAGAATCGGAAAAAGATAGACTAATTGGCCTGACCAACTTAGGACCGCCGACCCACCCGTGTTTCACCAGTTTGACCCGCCAACCCATTTATAGCCTAATTTTTCAATGCTTTGTTTAATTGTCTACGATGTAGGATCAATTGTCATATCCGTCATCATAAAACTGAAATAACCGAATTCAGTACAAGGGAATTCTCCATAGTTGTCATATGTTTCACATGTATGAAGCTTGTACAAATAAAACTGATTCTCAGTATCATATGTATGAAACTCGTATAAATAAATTGATTCCTAGTATCATATGTATGAAACTTGTACAAATAAATGATTTCCCTCTTGTCGTCCACGTCAGTAGCATAACTTGATATTGGTTATGTTAGGAGTAGTTTACACAGTTAGCTCACAAAACAATCAATATAAATGTGCAAGAATTCAGAACTAAGAATCTGAAAATACAACTTCATGTAAACAGAAGTTTATACACAAGAAATAACCAAACTATAAGCATAATAAACTGTAAAAGCTGGAAACGAAAATAAGAAACACTGGACTTATCTTCTATTAAGCCCACAGGCCACAATGATTCAACGAAGGGTTTCAATAACTCAAGAATGACCACCACCATGCTCGAATCAGACCCAAAGTGAAGATACAAAAGTATGGCACTCAGACTTGACCGATTATTACACAAAATAGCNCCGACTCCGTCCGATTAATTCTTAACAACCTCAAATATAAGAATCGGAAAAAGATAGACTAATTGGCCTGACCAACTTAGGACCGCCGACCCACCCGTGTTTCACCAGTTTGACCCGCCAACCCATTTATAGCCTAATTTTTCAATGCTTTGTTTAATTGTCTACGATGTAGGATCAATTGTCATATCCGTCATCATAAAACTGAAATAACCGAATTCAGTACAAGGGAATTCTCCATAGTTGTCATATGTTTCACATGTATGAAGCTTGTACAAATAAAACTGATTCTCAGTATCATATGTATGAAACTCGTATAAATAAATTGATTCCTAGTATCATAAGTATGAAACTTGTACAAATAAATGATTTCCCTCTTGACGTCCACGTCAGTAGCATAACTTGATATTGGTTAGAATCCAATTCATGAGAAGAAGAGAAATTATTGCAACGTGGAGAACAGAAATGGAAATAAAAGCAAGGCAAGGATGGAGCTAACCCTTCCATGCCTGTCTTCAGTCTTCCCTACATTCACATCACATGAATGAAATTTCACTGGAAGACAAGTTTCATTGTCGAGAAGAAAACAATCCAGATCACCAGCTAATACTTCTAAATGATCGCTCAGTGATAAAGAAAGATTTAGAAATTGAGGTCCACCACTTAAAATAGATCGGCACATGCAATTTCATTAGCCACATCAACAAATCAGTAAAAAATGTTAAGTGTTCGTTGAATAAGTGATGGATGGAATAACGAATTAGAAAGTTCAGTTATTAACGAGATAATTTTAAGGATTTTATTACATGTACATAAAAATTGACATATTGATTTACACTCATGTGAGTTGACAAATTTTGGTACATTAATTTCGACGACATCTTTTTCAATCAATTGCCAAATTTTTTATACATAAGGGGTGTCAATCATGGGGTACACTTTGTGTGTACAAATAGTTTAATCCTAATTTTAAAGTTCATTGACTCAGTGAAAATTTTACGCAAAGTTCAGTAATGATTCGGGTAATTATCCTTACTATCATTGAAGGCAAGACCTTTGACTCTTATATGTTTAATTTTATTTATTTATTTAGGAAAAAAAATGAAAGTTTAACTTGTGAAACTATTTTTTAATCATATTGGAGTTGAATAGATTGAAAGATAGAAGTGCTATAAAGTAAAAGGAAAAATCATGTTGGATGGTTATTTGGTTGAAACGTAATGATTCAATTATAGAAATTATTATTTGAAATACCGTACAAGAAAAACCAAACCCCAAAAGTAATGATTTCTTCATTTGAATTTTTTTTCAATTTATATTTTCTTTCTTTAATTTTAATAACACGTCTAAAATACTATAGAATTATTTAAGTAATTCACCACCTTATATAACAAAATTAAATGTAGCTAAGTTTAATCATTAAGAAATATTTTATAAATGCTGTAAAAGTAATATTTGAATATGTGTGAATGTTAAATAATTTACAATTAATACTAGGGAATATATACACATGACGATGAATGTTAAATCATTTATTTAATTTTCAATTAAGTAAAATTGGATGTTAATTAACATACATAAAGGTGAATAATGAATTTAAAATTCTAATTAACTTATAATAGAATTAATAAACACTGTAATGTATAAATAAAGATGGATATTAATTAAATGAATATGAATTTTAATTAATTGAGAATTAATAATATATAATTCATAAATTATTAATGAAAGTACATATGTGAAATGAATCTGCCAAATATACATATACATTGATGACAACTAAATGGTTAAATAAATTAAGTACATATTGAAAAAACGAAATGTAAAATATTATTAAAATAATTGAATTATAGTAAGGCTAAAATCGTTCGAAAAATAATTCTCACTAGCTGTAATATTTAATTCAAATTAAGTAAGACTGGATGTTAATAAGCATAAATTGACGTGAATAATGAAATGATTTTTTGAATGTGAAATTTTAATTAATTTATAATTAAAATTAATAATACTGAAATGCATAAATGAATATGGATATTAATTAAAAGAATGAGAATTTTAATTGATAATAAGGAATTCCTATATTAATGAAAGCACACATGTAGAATGAATTTGTCAAATGTACATACACATGATGTTAACTAAATTGTTAAATAAATTAAATACATATTGAAAAACGAAAGTAAAATATTATTGAAATAATTGAATTATAGTACGGCTAAAATAGTCCAAAAAATTATTTTCATTTGATATGATATTTAATATATTATAGATATTATTAATTAAAAATTAACTTATTTTTGACTAATTGTGGTATATAAAATTAATTATTTATTTATTTTTGACAATCAGTTCGACCCCAATTTGATCCCCGTTCAACCTCTCTCCTTGACCCTTTACTTTTTTCACACATTTCATTTCGATTTTCAAACCGAAAATACTAGCTGCCAACTCTTTTTCAATGTTATCTGGAAGTCCATGGGAGGATTTTTCAAAGCTTCAGTTTAGGCAGTTTGGCTATTTTGCAGTAATTTGTTCGAGTTAGTTGGTCAATAATCCGGTAATTAACGAATTGAAAAATAACTAAACCGAAAGATTGCCCAAAAATTTAGACTGTTTGATAATTAATCAAAACTTATGCCTACGTGTATTTAAACAAATTAATATTTAGACACATATTGGATATGGACAAAATACTAACTCATCGAGTTAGTGGTTTATTTTCAATTCCCGATGAGATTTTTGTACTAGATGGAAGCTCTAGAACAATGAAAACAAGAAAAAGAAAAGGGAAAACCCCCACGTACAAGTGGGGGTTTCACAGGGGCCTGCCAGGCCTCTCACAACCTGGCAGGCCCCACATGTTTTAAAAAAGACAAAAAAACCCACCCCTCTGTTAAGATTTGGGAGTCAATCTTAAAAGGTCAACTTTATTATCCAAGATCTTTATTAATTGGTCTGTGTCAACATCTTTATTTGATGTGGGATTATATCCCTTAACACGCCACCGCAAGATGGTGGCTCATTTGAGCAGACTAATCTTGAAAATCCACGTGCTCACTTTTTGGA